GAGCCACATATATACAATAAGTAAAAAAAAACAATCAAATTATACAATCTTATATAAACTTCACTTGCAGTGCAAAAGAAGGGAGCACATCGTTAAGTGGCCACTACTCCAAACGAGTCGTCCTCCTCTCTCGACCACAAATGAGCCGTCCGCCTGTAGGCTAAACAGATCAAAAGCTCATTGTTATGCACACGCTGCACTGCCAGGGCAAGAAAGAGGCGCGAATAGTGCTGCATTCAGCGCGCAGGCGGTTCTTACTTCTCCAGGCGAGCGCTGCTGTGACTCGCTCGCAACAACGGAATTCTTGCAACCATTCTCGATTCCTGGACGAGGCAAAATTGAAGCTGTAGCTGTGTAATGTAAATCGTTTCATAACTGTGAGGAAATAAAGCTCATGCAGGTCTAGTACGCTAGATACGATCATGAGAATACTTCAAGCACTCCACATGTGTCCCTCACTTCGAGGGGCGAATAATAAAAAACAGGGCCCAGACGTGTGAATATCGCTAACTGTGAACGTCGGATTAATTGGACCCTAAAATGCTAAATACATGTATCTATTAAGTAAGTCTCAATCAGTTTACTATACTAAAAATCTGGGCATAAAAATTAGAAATTATTTGTAGACAATGAATTGAAAATGTTGTTAAATAAAAAATACGTGTTCAATTCTATAAGTAGTTTTTAAACTCTTCATTATATTTGTACAAAAAAGTGCATTATGTGTTTTAGTAAATCTGAAGGATGTTTTCGGTGAAAACCACCGTTTTGCGCTAGGGACCCCCTAGTACTTAAATCTCGCCCTGTATAGGCATGTGATATCTTCCACTTTAACGAATTCTCCCCCCTTGGAAAGGTAAACAGGGCGGTAGTTACCTCTCCCATCAACTGTACAAAGCTTGGTAGGGTGATTGGACTTCATGTTCAGATAAGACACGTGGATAGTGCACGTCAACCACGATGCAGACAAATTGTAAAAACGCTCATGCCCTACGCAAGACTCGAACCTGCTACCTTCAAAACCCAATTTTCGAAAATGTATTTATCCTATGGATTGAATTCATAGGATTTATTCGACAGTAAGGCAATTAAGGATTATAAAACGATAATTTATCGAGAGGGGAGAGGCGATAGGTATACTGCCCAGCAGGTTTGATGTAATAATAATTATATTAAGATGTGGAATGACCTTAGGAAACCAGGTCGTTGAAAGTACAGAAAAGCCAAACCTACTTGTTAGATTCCTTTCCTGATTTTTTACGTTTCGTGGAACGTGTGTCCGCCTCCTCAGTGTCGTTAAGATATTTCAAGATATACTGCAACAGATTCTTAGATGTTAATGATAATAATGATTAATTATAATTATAATAATAATTAATAAATTAGATGATGTTAATGATAATAATAATGAGTAATCATTTTAAATAAATTAAAAAAATAATATTTTGTAATATTTTTGTTTAAATTTATGCTGAACCTCAAAATTGTTTTTGATTGATAGTTGTTTAAGACGTATTCATTTGAGATAATGAATTATTTTTGTAAAATAAGAAACTAATAAGAACTCTACTTGTGAATATGCCTTGCTTTGGAAGGGCATATACACAATTACTCACGCCTGGAAGTGAGGGACATGTGGAGAGCTTGAAGTATTCTCATGATCGTATCTAGCGTACTAGACCTGCCTGAGCTTTATTTCGTCACAGTTATGAAACGATTTGCATTGTACAGGTACAACTTCAATTTTGCCTCGTTCAGGAATCGAACTCGGGACCGCTTCACAGAAAGATAGCACGCCGTCCATGACCCACCCGAGAGGGATTTACTTTACAAATACAATCATATATTGTGACGATTTTCGAATATGATATGATTTTTATCCGAAGCAAGAGCTATTTTGCTTGTAGGTAAATCCGACCCTGCCCCTACACTAAAAAATCGCGATCTAAGAATATCAAAGTTCTATTGACAGAGTAAATTTTACAGAACCACATTTTGAATGGTTGGAGGTGTCTAATGAAGACAGGTAATAATGAAAAGGGAAATTTTGTTCTTAGAAAACCCTCACAGATTGCACTTGGTCCTCTCATAAGTCTCATACCGTGTTTAACTGTTGTTGTTTTTTTACGTTATATGAATAAAATCAGGCTTCCCTCAAGTCCAGTTTGACAAATGTTTTGATATGATGTAGATTTGACAAAAGACATCGACAAGGTCAAAATCCAATTCCAAAACGCCGTTTAATTCTCAATACAAAAACATCAGATAGGTGCTTGCCATTTAGAGGCCGCGAAATGAGCATGGCACACTCTTCACTCACACTGCCCTTCATAGCCTTTGCTGCTTGTACACGAGATGGCGCGCAACAGAAGTTCGTAGATGGAGCCGTGGAGCAGTCGCTCTAATTGCCGACCGGGCTGTAATTATGTACTGCGGGACCGCCAAGCACAAAAGTGTTCCCCTTCTGAAAAAAATGCCTATTTACTTGCTAAAAACCCTAATTATAATATAATATGTTTTGTACAATATAAGTGAAAGTTAACAAATTTTTAAGTTATAGAATTTTTGACGTTTTGAATTACATGAAGTTTACACGTACAAACATAGTGATGTGAAAGTGACCTCGGAGAGTCTCAGGCAGTACTCAACAACTCTGCCGATACAACATCCACTGTGTCGTCTCCCCATTAACCAATTATTGGCGTTAGCAAATAAGTAAGTAATCAACAAGTAAAGAAAGAAATTAAAAAAAAACATACAAATCTACCATGCTTTTTTTTAATAAAATACTACAATGTGCGCTTTGCTGGTACGACAAAGGAGAGACAGCGAAGCTTTATGTTCTCGAAGACGAGCAGAAAATCTCAATTAAGGTGTCCCACACGCTCGGCAGCGGACCTCTGGCGGCTGAGCTTAGGTTTGAGCCGTATTCCCTAATTCAATCTACAAATCAATTCAATCTGACTGATGGTAAACAAAAGATAGGGGAAGTATGTTTACATAGACCAAGTCGCAGAGACCGAATGAGGTGGCTCAGAGCATCTACTGACGTCACTGCAGTACCTCTCGTCGGGCTGTCCGAGAGTTCGAGTCCTGACGGTGGCAGGATTTTGGACACTTGGTAGTTGATTTCAGCCACCGTCTCAAGGAGAATTCTAGCGACTGGCCGCTCTCATCTGTAGTTTTCTGTGCTTTCTCCGATCAATATCCGGCGAATATCGCAGCTGTACTCTTAACACGGGCTATGGACCGCGCGCGATCTTTCATTCCTCTTCCTTATCCTATCCGCTTCCCTTACACACACATGCTCTACTCTATTAAACATGCCGAAGGATCAGCCTGTCCCGTTCTGGGACGGTTCCCTGCTTGTGAAGATACCTGGATGCGAGAAAACCCCTGCAAGCTTACATGTAGGTCGGCGCCGGATCTCAAATCCACAGGATGAAGAAATTGCCACCTCCCGTGATAAAACGTGTGGTATACTTATATCACTAAAGACCATAGCAGTTGACGCGCCGGTAACACGAAATAACAAATTAATCAACCATGTCGAAGACCGCTTTAACTTCGACGGGTATGCCCATGTGAGCAACACGAACGATACCATTATCCGGTAAGGCACCTTCGATCATTCTTGGCGGACAATCCTGCAATTCAATCCAGAGGATCAATAATTGATTGTAAAATAATACATTGTACGTAGGCTCGATTAGAAGTGAACGCAAAAAGCGCCGCGAAGTAGGGAGCCTGGAGCGCATATCGTTATAACGTCGGGCGTGCGCAGG